GTGGTGATAAGATAGATGGTGATATTGTGCAATCACAGGTGGGTGGAGAGAGATGGTGGCAGTGGCTGTGGCGGTGGGTGTAAAGAGATGGTGGCGGCGATCATGGCTGAAGGGAGATGATAGGGGTGGGTGGAGGCGGCGGCCATTGTTAAGGAGAGATGGTGGCAGCGGATGTGGAGAGGGAAGAGCCGATGTTGGGTTAGACAGGACATATGTATGGACAAATTTGTCATTTTACAAGTTTGAGATATATTTTTTATTTTTTATATTAAAATGAATTAAATATTCAAGGGTAATGTCGTCTTTTTCTATCTTTTAAGGGCTTGTTTGGTTGGAATTTCTGGCAGGGGGTGTGAGTGTTCAAAAAAGGGCTAAGTTTCATCTGGTTGTTAATATGGCAAACCTCAGGTGGAAAAAAATGAATTTAAGAGGTTCAAATTTAAAAATCTCCTAATCAAAACAAATTGTTTTTCATTGTATAGATTACAATCCAAGAATCTATATTTATCAAATCATCATGTGTCCCAATTTTCAATTCACAAATAGATCATAAATTCAACTGAAAGAATTTTCACATATATTATCATGAAAAATATGATCAATGTCTCAAAACCTTAACCAGACCCTAATCCTAAAAAGTGATCCACTGACAACAAAATTTTACAATTAACACAATCCATGATCACTAATCACCCTAGGACTTAGTTTAAAGGTTTTGTATCCAATATCCTTTTGGAAACTAGTTCCAAGGATTCAATTGGTATATAGTTGACCAAATCATCTTTCTTGATCCACACATTCTTCACTCTCACTTTTTGAAAAGATTTTTTAGATTTTACATCTTTCTTAGGCAAATTTCTAGCCTTAGAATTTTTAGGTGAATGGAAATTCTTTTTCTTTTTAGAATGCACCATTTTCTTAGCATGAATACCATGAGAATGAAAGTTAGAAAAATCTTTCTTTTTCCTGTGAAAACATGAATGTTGGTTATGTCCATTCTTACCACAAAAAGTGCAATGCAACATATTAGGCACATATGACATATCAGAATGCAATAAATCAACCAAACTAGGATCAAGCACAGTATGATCAACAAATCCTAACCCATTTTTATCATTCACATTCTTACCAATGTTTATCATCTTATTCAATTTCACTTGACCAGTAGTAAAACCTATCAGTTTATCCTGTGTCTTTTTCAATTCAAGCTCACAATATTCAATTCTTAGAATAAGATATTCATTCATAGAGTTAGCCTTACTTACCTCACCTTCAAGAGTGCTTATTTTTTCATTGAGATCAGAGATGATTGAATTGCTTTCAAAAGCCTTTATCTTTTCTTCATCAATCTGTTTTCTCAGATCATCATTCTCTTCTTTTGCTTATATAAGCTACTTTGCTAACTAGTTGACAGCCAATTTGACTTCAATAGTCTCTTCAAACACCGTCTTCAATTTTTCTCCATCCTTCTCATCCTCTTGAACCTATTCATCATGAACTTCATTAGCCTTATCATCTGAAATGTCAAAATCAGATAAAGTAACAATGTGAGGACCATTATCAAGAAAAGCTACATAAGAAAAATCATTGCTATCATCAAGAGAAGATTCATTATCAGTGGAAGTGGAATTTTCAGAAACAGAAACTTTCATTACTTTCCCATTATTCCTATCCTTTTGTTCTTTCTTAGAACTAGGACAAATATTTAACGAGTGACCTTTGCCACCATAATTCCAGCAAGCGAATTCAGTTTCTTTTGACTCTTTTACTTTTTTTTCATTTATTTTCAATTTCAACCCCTTGTCAAAATTTCTAGGATTGGCCCCATTCCCATTCCTTCTCCTTTGTTGTCTTTGCAAAAACTGATTAAATTACCTAGTTATAAAAGTCACATCTTCATCAGAATTTTCATCAACAGAATTATTAACATGATTTGACTTAAAAGCAAGATTCTTTTCTTTCTGATTTTGATCAAAATTTTGCATCTCAAAATTTTTTAATGAGCCTACAACCTCATCTACTTTAGCACTAGAAAAATCCCAATGTTAAGTTATAGTTTCTATCACTATCTGAAATCTTTTAGGTAAAAACCTTAAGATTTTCTCACAAATTTTCTTATCACTAACTCTTTTGCCTAAAGATGAAGTTCAGAAATAATTTCAAGAAGAATAGAATAAAAATTAGAAAAAGTTTCATCTTCTTTCATCACAATGTTCCCAAACTTAGGAAAAATCATTTGGATTTTTAACAGCTTCACTTTCGAAGTCCCTTCATAAGTAACCTGCAAAATATCTCAAATATCTTTAACAGTTTTACAATCATAAATTCTAGCATATTCAGATGGAATAACATAATTAATAATTGCATATAAAGCTTTTCCATTAGCATCATTACACTCAGTTTCAAGTGCAGTGTAGTTAAAAGCATCTTTCAAAACTTGAACTACTTTACCATCCACAGGTTTTTCTTCAGTAGGTGGTGTATAACCTAATTCAACTACTGCCCATACTTTACCTCCTGAATTTTGCAAATAGGCTCTCATTTTTTATTTCCAAAAATTATAATTGTTTTCTTCAAATAAAGGACCACGTTGATTAGATCCACCCTCTTTCACCGCATAAGACATAATGAAACAATTTTTTTTTTTTTAAAAACAAAAAAAAAAAAAAAAAAAAAAAAGAATAAAAATTTTTCCACTAGGATAAACTCAATGTGTAGAGATTTGCTCTGATACCAAATGTGAGTTGTGCAGCGGAAGATATTGTGTGGAAAGTTTGAGTTTTTAAACAGATCTGTATCTTTCTATTTTAATCATCTTTACTTAATTTGGCAATTAAATAATTAATTACATGCAAGATAAAATAAAGTAAAAAAATAGAGTTTGAGAGATGATATCGGGATTTTTAGCGAGAAAACCCCAATTGTTGCAGGAAAAACCTCGTGGCATGTATAGTCAAAAACAAAACGATCCACTATGTTTGAAACAAAATCTTTGACTCAAGCTCACACCCTATCGTTCTACCAAAAATCAATCGTTAACAATCCTTTGGCTTTGCAATGTCCCGTCTAACAACTCTTAGCCTCAGGCTTACTCTTGATCTCTGTAGAATGATTGTTGGTAGATCAAACAACACTTCTCGAATACTTTGACCCTTCCAAAGTGTGATCGTTTCACCCATGTTCTTCAAGATTTGAATTTGATGTAGAAGAAATAGATATGTTTCTTTGATCGTTGTAGATGCAATATTCAATGAACTTTGAACACGATCAGGAATTGAACAAACATTCTAAAATCACTCTTATGTTTATGTGTGTGTTCTAGAAATAAAGACAGAAAAATCATATTTGATTTTCTACAAAATCTCTCTCAGATAGGCTTTTAATAAATCAGAAGTTGTAACGCAAAAGCCGTACTAACCTAGATATAAATCAAGGTTTATATAGACTCTTCAAAGACCTGGATATGCATAAGAAAAGGTAAATTTCATGCATAGGACTTTTGGAAGGAATTCTATATCAAATAAGAAGTTTAGACACAACAGGAAATAAATTACCTAAACTGTATCAGCATGAGGAACAGTAGCCAACTTTGGAACCGGTTCCCAAATGACAAAATGTATTCTTCGAATTACAGGTTCTTAAACCGGTAGAAGAAGTTTGGTACCAGTTCCCACTTGACATAATTGAAAGGGAACATTTAACAGTTTGGAAATTTTCTATTTTGGTAAATTTGAAGAATATAAATGGAATGTATAGTGTCCTAATTGGGAAACAACTTCCTAAAGTGTTGTTCATACCTTTTTTGTAAATAATAGTTCATCAAACTTGAACAACTCTTCAATTCCATAACCAATCTCGATCTTGATTTCGTAACTTGAAAATTACAACTCGATCGGACTTGTTTTGACACCGAAATTAGTCAATTACAAAAAAAATTTCTCACATGAGTGAGACTGAACATTGTATAGAAAGAATGATCTTGACTTGATTGAGAGGAATCTTTCTTGACGACAGTGCTTCAACATTTGATTTCTAATGTGAAACATTTGTGACTCTTGACTCTTCAGAAATAGTTTCATCTAATTCTTCTTGACTTTATTGTTCAGCCTTTTTGTTATATTTAGTGGTTTGGTCGCTTCCACATAAAGATTCCAATGTGTCCCACATTTCTCTAGCAGAGTAGCAATCATTAACCTTGTTGAGCACAAGCTTGTTCAGTCCACTAGGTAAAACTATCATTGATCTTGCTTCATTGGGCACAGTTCTTGCTATTTGAAGAATAATCTTCTGTATCTAACAGATATCTTCCATTGATTGCTGCATCCCACACACCATATGACTGAGACATTAAGTAGACTTCCATCCTAATTTTCCAATCTTCAAAGTTGGTACCATCAAGCCTTCCATTATGCTCAAAGAATATTTTCTGTAGGCTTGTTAATGCCATGGTTCAGCAGACCAAGACTCTGAAACCAATTGTTAGACCAAGAGAAGGAGAGGGTGAATTGGTCTTAGTTAATTCCAATTCACTTTGACCTTCTTTCCAAATCAATACACAATTAAGAACAAAAGAATAATCAAATCATACCAACACAAGGTTTACAAGGAAACCCTCTTAATAGGGAAAAACTTTGATTTTTGGCCTCAGCCAATAAATGCCTCCACTAGTTGTAAACAAGTAGTTACACACTCAGCTGTCTCACACTCTGCACTCTCTCCTTGGTACAAGTTGAAACACTAGTTTTCACAACCTCTACATTCACCCTAGCTCCACTAAGTGCACACTGCACTCCCCCTATCCACAGCACCCTTGCTTGGACTCAATGAGCTCTCACAGCTCTCTCTCAACAAAAGAATAAAGGTGTCAACACACCAATTACAAACTACTTTAGCTATTACAAAATATATGAATGGATACACAACCTTAAGTCGCAAAATTAAAAACATAGCACTTTTAACATCTTCCATATTGGACCTCAATTAAAGAAATGATTGAAATATAGAAAAAAAAGTTCAGAACAATATTTCATTAAAAACATCCAAGTCATCCATCTTGAATAATCATCAACAAAGGTGTCTTTCACTTAAATTAACTTCATCCCATACCAAGCACAATGTAAAGCATATGCATTAGAGATAGTAACTTTTCTGGAATCACTGTCATCTAGCCAGACAAAATACTGTTGAAACATTGAATATGGTAAATGCATTTCTAGAACAATGGTATGTAACAATGCTATACTTGGAACTTTTTTCTAGGCAAAGAAGAAATGTTCATTAGTCAAAGCATCCAGCACTTTTCTTCTCTGGGGCACTTGAGCTGATCCATGTCTCTTGTGAAGGCATACTTTTCTACTTGAGAGGCTTCATACCCTGCACAGTTTCAAAAAAGCTTCAATTGTAAAACTTCCCATTTCCAACCAAATGTTTGCTTACACAAAAAAGGCAAAATAATTTTAGTATGAAGAAAAAAAACTATATCATATCTGATTCAGATCTTACTATAATATTATCTCTCGTATAAACTACAGTGGAATAAAAGGACAGTGGCAAATCATTTAAATATTCCTTCATCACTTTATTTATTTATTTATTCCAAGAAGTCATAAAAAGAATATTGATGGTACCAAGAAACAAAAGAAAAGAAAAATGAATGTTGATTCCCAGCCTCCAAGGGAACTAAAATATCAACAATTTAAAAATGCATTTGATAACCAATGTACCAATATGTAATAGATCTAGAAATTAACTGCCACCTTCAACTCACCGTCGATTAAGAAGTTTTGGACTCTTGAATCCATTTGTTCCTGTGGACCTTCTAAAAGAGAAAGGACCTTGGCTTTCGTGGAAACCCTTATTACCACAATGACATTTAGAAATGCCTCTGATTCCAGTAGAATTAATGCTTTTGAGAACACTATTTAGAGTTGAGTTTTGTTCTACCCTCCCAAGGAAAGCAATACAAAAGACTTACTAATCTTCCTAGAACAAGTGACCACCTTCAAATCATTCAAAATTAAACTTAAGGTCGGCCAATAAATTCATTAAGAACTAAGGCCCAATAAAATATTGAGAAGTGAGCTCAACAAAGCTTTTTCTCCCAAATACTTGGGATCAGTTACAAAATTTTGTTTTGTCATTCCGCTTTATCAAGGTCTTTACATCTGTTAGGTCAATAGGACTTAGGGTCACAAATTCCATAAATCAAGACTAGAGTCTGTAATTTTTTGTTCTAATTTCTAGCTTAGAATAGAAATTTTAAAACGTTAGTGTTAGTTATTACCTCCCAAGGTCAAAGAAAATTAATGCTGCTTTCAAGGGTATTTCAGTAATCTTCGTCTACAAGGGTATTAAGGTAAATTAACACAGTGATGCACCCAACAAATTAGAGTTCTGCATGCATAATTACTAATTAAGGTTTCTATTTGTTACTTGATTTTAATCAAAATCATTCAAATCATGCGTCAAATAAGTTTTTGGAACCTTCCCGTTTGAAAATTTTCTAGGTATTGAACTGCAGTAGACGTTGATCATGGAGTATACAAAGTTACAAACTCCATTATCTCCATAATATTATGTTGACTGTATACATATATATGATACTAGGGCTGACTAATATACAAAGAGAACACATTTTTTTTTTTTTTTTTTTTTTTTGATAAATAAGCAATTCATTAAAAGCGTTCAAAAAGGGAACATGTCCCTACAAGATCACAAAATCTTGGGTACCCTAAGGCCCCAGGGAAGCCAAAAACTCAACAGTCTCCTCAGCAGAGGAACAAAGTCTACCCGAACCCCAAAAAAACAGAGAGCTAATAACAGAAGATTTCAGAACAATGACCGAAGACTCTTCTCCTTCAAAGGATCTTCTATTCCGCTCCCTCCACAGACACCACCAAAGACACACTGGCGCCATCCTCCAAAACCCTCGAGCCTGTGCTCCCACCCAACCCCCTCCCCAGGTGTCCATCAAACCTCTCGTAGATCTAGACATGACCCGGTAAACTCTAAATAGACCTAACATAAGATTCTAACATTCAACCGCCACTGGACAATGCAAAAGAAGATGTCAACCGACTCGCCATTACACTTACAAATGCAACACCAATTCACCGTAATATGCTTTCTCCTTCTCAAATTATCCAGCGTCAATATTTTACCCCACACAACCGTCCAAGCAAAAAAAGCCACTTTCAATGGCGCCTTAGTTCGCCACATTGCCTTTCAAGGGAATACCACCCCAGCTGAGTCCAAAAGGCATCCGAAAATAGATCTCACATTAAACATTCCCCTAGAAGAAGGAATCCAAACAAGAGAATCCCTACCTCCTCCATGGATCACCTGGCTATACAACAACTACTCTAAGAAACCAAAAACATCATCCATCTCCCAATCTTGAAAAGATCGCTGAAAAAGCACGTCCCAAACTACACTCCCGCTATCAAGGCTATAGCAGTCAGCCACCGAGGCATGCCTATTAGCCGCAATCCTAAAAAGTCTAGGGAAAGAACATACTAAAGTGCGATCTCCACACCACACATCCTCCCAAAACCGAATCTCCATACCATCATGAACTCTGAATCTGATATGCTTAGAAAACTCATTCCATCCCTCCCGAATGGCTTTCCAAACACCGACACCCCCAGGAACAGTAGAAACCCCCCCCCCCCCCCCCCCCCCCCCCCCCCAACACAAAAAAAAAAAAAAAAAAAAAAAGCGACACAAGATAACCCTCCTCCACAATTTATCCCTCTCAACACCAAACCTTCACAACCACTTACCTAACAGGGCCCTGTTAAAAGGCAGCAATCGCCTAATCCCAATTCCTTCGAACTCAACAAGCTTACACACCTGCTCCCAACAAGCGAAATGATACTTAAACTCATCCCCCAAACCTCCCCATAAGAAGTTCCTCTGAAGTCTTTCAATACAAGCAGCAACCGAGGACGGAATCTGGAAAAGGGGTAAAAAATATGTAGGAATGCTCGATAAAGTGCTTTTCAACAAGGTTACCCTCCCACCTTTTAATAAATATTGCTTCTTCCACCCCGCAAGCCTCCTCTCCACCCTCTCCACCACCGGATCCCAAGCACCTACAATCCTCGAAGAAACCCCCAAAGGCAAACCCAAGTAAGAAATCGGAAAAGAACTAACTCCACAACCAAGAATAGAAGCTAATTCCTCAATCTCCGGAACCTCCCCCACTGGAATCAACGCGCTCTTCCCCACATCCACTTTCAAACCCGAGACTGCCTCAGATCAACACTGACCTCAAATATCTCATTTGTGAGACACCTCAGCCTCGCAAAAAATGGTGGGAAATCTCCAGCTGATGCATATCATCCCTTCCCACCCTAAAACCCCTAATGAAGCCCACCTCCGCAGCCCTCCCCATCAATATACTAAGCCCCTCCATCACAATGATTTTTTTTTTGATAAATTCTAAACCCCTCCATCACAATGATGAACAGAAATGGGGACAATGGATCTCCCTGACGCAAACCTCGTGAGCTACCAAAGAAACCAGTCGAAACCCCATTCACCAACACCAAGAATCTCGCTGAAGATATGCAGAACTCAATCCATTTCCTCCATATCCCCAATCAGATATAGCAAGAAACTCCAATTGACATGATCATAAACTTTCTCCAAATCCAACTTACACAAAACTGCTGGAACCCCACTCCTCAACCTATCATCCACAAACTCCCTAGCAATAAGGATAGAATCCAAAATAACCTCATCCAATGAAAGCATTCTGAGATTCCAAAATAACCTCAACCAAGACCACCCTCAATCTCAAAGAAAGAACTTTGGCTATTAGTTTATAAATGCATCCCAACAAACTAATAGATCGAAAGTCCTTCACATCAACGGGTCCACCCTTCTTCAGAATGAGGGCTATAAATGATGCATTCAGGGATTTCTCAAATCGCCCCCGAGTATGAAAAGCATGAAAAGTACTCATCACCTCGCCCCTGACCACGACCCAACTCTCCAAAGAAACCTCATAGTGAAACCATCCAGACCCGGAGCTTTATCCCCATTACAATTTCTTAGCACCTCCAACACTTCCTCCTCAGAAAACGGAATCTCCAAACCCTCCCTGATTACCTCAAAGATCATATCAAAATTAAGTCCATCCAGCCTGGGTCTCGTAGAAACAGTCTCTAGTAGAATTAGGCAATCCTCCTGCAAACATCGTCCTCCCTACTCAAGTCCACCCCATCCACTGTAAGTCTCCCTATGTGATTGCCCCTCCTATGAGCATTAGCCAACCTATGGAAGAACTTAGTATTCCTGTCCCCCTCCTTAAGCCATAATGCTCTGGATTTCTGTCTCCACGAAATCTCCTCCGACATAACAATCTCAGCAATTTCAGCCTGGCACGCCACTCTCCTACTTCTCGGCTCATCATCAATGCCGCCCATGCCTTCCCGGCGATCAATCTCTGCAATCTCTGCGAAAGCCCTACTCTTCCTCCACTAAAGATTCTTGAAAACCTCCTTATTCCACCTTTTCATCTCCTTCTTCATCAACCCAAGCTTTCTAGCAAGAACAAAGCTCGGATTCCCAGACACCATACTACCTTCCCACCAAGACCTCACCACCCTTGGAAATCATCCTCCCTAAGCCACATGTTTTCGAAACGAAAAGGAGTGATTCTAGACCTTAACCCACCATAATCCAACACCAAGGGAATATGATCCGATGTCGATCTAGCCAAGGCTGCCTGAGTCGCATCCGGAAACTTCTCCCAATCTCTTTAAATGAGAAGTCTATCCAGACGTGAAAGGGTAGGAGACTCTTTGCCATTAATCCATGTGAAAGAAGCACCCTTCAAAGGCAAATCATGAAGATGATGCCCATCAATGAATTATGAAAACTGTACCATTGTCTGAGTCCATCTTCCTCCTGTCAATCTCTCCAAAGGGGATTTGACCACATTAAAATCACGCCCCACACACCATGGAAGACACCACTGTGCCTTAACAAATCCCAACTCCTCCCAGAGAAGATGCCTCTCCCCATCATCCACTGGACCATAAACCCCCGAGAACACCCAACGGAACCCATCCTCTTCCATAGTAAAACTGCAAGAAATGGAGAATCTCCCTCGCCACACATCCGCTTTTGACACCCACCTTTTATCCCACATCACCAAAATACCCCCAAGATGTCCCCACATCATCCAACGCCTCCCATTTAATAAACCTCTCACCCCACAAACTCCTAACCACCCTCTCTGAAATGGATGCCATCTTCGTCTCCTGTAAACATACCACATGAACACCCCACTTCCTCACTGCCAATCTAACCACCTTTCTTTTGTCCGAATCATTAAGCCGTCGGGCATTCCACGAAATAATGTGGCGCGTCATTAAAAATCAATAGATGACCCCTCCTCTCTCCTTCTCCCTCTTCCACTCTCACTGCTCCCCTCCCGCCCCGTCTCATTCTTCCCCTCATAATTAATGTCAGAAATCAAGCCTCGGATCTCCCTTCCCCCTCTCCACGGGGATAACCTCTTCTTCTTTCTAACTATTATGTTCTGTTCAAACTCCCAACATCCTCCACATTCTTTCCCGCCACATTTGAATGCATCACCAAACGAGCCTGCTCCTCATCTGGCTGAAAAGAAAGTCCCAACATACTACTCACAGTATCAATGTTATCCTTCACCCACTCCACCCCTCTATCATCCTGTGTTACCCGGACTCTCCATAATTGGCGAGAGTGTCCGTGTCGACACAACACAACACGAACACGGACACGGACACGGGACTCGTGTCGGACACTTTATTTTTGAATCGGACACTCTGCGAAGCTCCCTGTTCTCTGGATTAAAGTCCTGGTTATCTCTGGTTTGAAGTTTACAAAGGTTGAAGATGGATCTGTGGAAGATAGGGAAATTTGTGCCTTAATTTTTTATTCATATAATATATATGTATATACATTTTTTAATACTCCCGTGCTCACTGTTTTTTAGGCTAGGATCATCATTGTAATATTATATTATTATAGGTATATTACAGGTTTGGGTATCAGTCATTATACTATTATATAGTACTATATTACAACAATAATTACAGTATAATATTATATTACTACTTCCAAGAAAGTGGTTTGGGGGGGCCCATTCTCTTTTATCACCCATTAACAATCAAGTCTAACAAGTCCACTAAGATGCCAGTGGCTTTACAACTGGAGGAGGCTTGCATGTACCATCATTATAATATTATATTATTACATATATTACAGCTGTGGGTTACGACTGCAACCCACATCCATTTCACACATACAAATTCATTGGGCTAGGCTATTTCAGTGTTTGAATTATTGTTGGGCCTCTATTATTTTGGACTAACTTTCGAGCCTTTCCAGCTCCTTTGTACAGCATATATGAAGTGTCCAAGTACCCGTGTCCGAATTTTGGACACTTATATTCCGTGTCCTATAATTTGATAGATAAATGGATCCGACCTCTAGATACGTACCAGTGACCGACACCCGCATCCGAGTCCGTGTAACATAGCTGTCATCACAACCTAATGCAGAGAAATCCCTCCCCCCGTCCGATCATAAAACACATAACGGTTGCATCTCCAAGCTAGTAGTATCCTCCCATAGAACCATCACCATAACACTTATATCATTGCCCCCTCCCCCCAATCTGTCACGACCGTCATCAGCCAAAACCTCAATCCCATTGAAAGCCGAAGGTGAACCAAAATCCCCTTCAGAGTCATCCCTTACTGTTTCTGAGCCAAAATCCAGCAAACGGTTCAATCCCTTTAACCCTTTATACATCCTCAATTCCTTCACCAGTACTGACGGTGCCTCCTGATGCATTCTCCCACCCGACGCTGCCATCACTGATGCATTCTCCCTTCAACAGTTTTGAAGAACTCATCAGAATATCAAGTGTGTGACTACTCAAATATCCCACCTCATCCTTTGTCTCTGCATCCAACCCAATCCCCTCCGAATCCACTTCCACCATAAGCGACAACACCCCAGTTCTCTCCGACTTCCGGTCAATCTCCTCCCTCATTCCCTCCTCAACACCCCACAAGGAGTAGAAGAAGAAGGAGCAGAAAGAAGGCTCTGAGAGTTGGGGAAAAAAGACATACCAGGTTGACTTTCCTATGGGCAAACCCATTTCTGTTTCTCCTTTCGTGACCAACACCTACCATCTCTGACTGTGGGATCACCATCATCAGAAGAAATTGATTGCAGAGACCGAAATTGATTTTCCGAAACCATCTGCAAACAGCAACTCCCATGCCGAAACCTTTTCCCCTTGTAGCTACTATAAGAACTGGCTCTAACCCAATTCTCTTTCTCCGATCGTGACTAGTGTCTATTATCTTCACCATGGGCCATTGCAGAATTCCACACCTGGGCTTGGCCCAACCCATTCACTCTGGATCTCATCTCCTCTTCCTTCGAACACAAGCCCAAGACCATAATAAACAGGCTCTTATTAGGGCCCCAGCCCTATCTCTCTTCTGCTGGACCAAGTTATTAGGCCCATACCCATCATTGGACTTGTCCCTAGTCCGCATCTTCTGAGCATAAAGCCCAAATTGCCCAATTGGCCTATTACGCGGCCCATTAAGCGGCCCACGTCCCACCGGCCCAACCCCATCCAAAACCTTGTCCGTAATCTTCGAAACCCTATCACCTTCACGTGGGCGCCTCCATTCCACCCCTTCCCCACTCGCCTTCCGCACGTACATGTCACTTCTTCCCTAACCCTGCTACCATCCATCTTCTTCCGACCTAACCAAACTCACCGAACGGACTGAACCAACCTCAAAATTGCAAGACACACATCCTTTCTTCACAAAATTCAGGGATACCATGGGTTTCACCACCACAAAAGGAGCGATCTCCTCCGTCACTGAGATCTTAAAAGCCCAAGACCTATTTTCAACGATCATGAACTCTGGGATGACCCCGTCGTCATCCACCGTGATGACTATCCTTTCTGTTTCGCTCTCAGAGACCTTGACCTCCCTAAACCCACCACATAACTCCCCTATAGATTCAAAAAGCTTCTGGCACCAAAGATGGAGTGGAAGGCCAAACAGCGTTACCCCTATCTGCCTCGTCCTTTTCCTTATCCCCAAACACCCAACTCTATAACACCACATATCAATTAACAGTTGTGCATCACCCAAGATTTTTTCCCCCATCTTAGCACCCTCTGAGCTTCCTTCTCCGAGGGAAATCGAAACAACAATAGCCCATCTAGTAGATTAGAAACCCTAACCCCACACGAAATCTGCCAAATCTTTGAAGCCCACTCCTCAATTCCTTCCAAACTACCCACATCTCTGTAGAATCTCCCAACGAGGCAAGATTGAAGCGTCATTTCATGAAGAATCGTGCTCTGCTCATCCACCCAAAGAACAAACCCTTTGTTGGTGGACGTTCGCACCACATCTCCTTTCTCCCTTAATTGTGAGCTTTAGAGCGAGCCTTTATTATTCTTTTTACACTAATCATTATAGTATTGATGAGTGTGAGTTCAAATGTTGACAACTATTGCTGCATAATCAAATCAGATAGTTCAATACAACCATTAAATCCATCTACTACTTTTCTGTACCTTTTACGCATTTTCTGTAATTTCCATTGTTTATTTTTCTCCTATGTTTTTTAATTTCAATTTCCTCCTCTTTTTTCTATTCTGCTTGGGTTTTTTATGTTCACTACTCATCAGATCACTACAACATGGACTGAAGGTTCAACTAAAAAGGATCTTTCATGGACATTCTTAGTGACTTATCTTTACAATTTTCAATTATGGACAAAGGATTATTGCTTCTCTTGATATCAATTTTTCTTTGTTTACATTAGGGAACTTGTTAGAAGCAAAGCATCCACACTTGTATTAGTCACTATGTGCTGCACATTGTTTGGGTTTAATGTTGGAGGAATTTGCATGAAGAACTTCAATGAAAGGACTTCAAAAGAAACAAAAAAATGTTTGGTGAATGAGATTTTTAGAAGTTTGTTTAAAACAAGTCCTCCTGTATATTAGGTTTGGTGATAACATCACAAAACCTTTAAACTAGTAGAATAACTTTAAGTTGACAAAGTTATCATTTATCCCCGGTAGCTATCTATATTGCATTCGACATAAATAAAACTCATGTTCATGAGATCAGAATTACGTACAGACCGAATCCTTAAAAAATTATTTGTGAAAGTGATTGTCCTTCTACTCATTGTACCAAGCAATAGCCCATAACTGTTGACGACCATATAATTCGAAACACTCTTAGGGTATTAGAGCTATAAGGTACATGTATTGATACTCGTTGTACCCCTCCCCTTCCCTGGCACACAATCTGGATCCTCCAATATACCCCGTTGAGCGAGGGCTGCCCTTCCAGCTCTGATTCACCTCCAGGGGTTATTTGGGAGGGAAGAACACTTGCAGCTGTTTAAAGCACCTATAATGACCTCAAAAACCGTTTTCAATGTAGCTTTCCCAAGGGTGTGAAGGCATTAAAGAGACGAGAAGTATACACATTTTTGTGATTGAAGAGACTATCGTATCATATTTGTTAATTGATATTCGCATCATCTGTTCTAAAAGAGTAAAGAGAAGTATACACATTTTCGTGACTGGAGACTATCATATCATATTTGTTAATTACTATTCAACATCATCTGTTCAAAAAGATTACTCTGTACTCTGAGGAACAAATATTCTACAAGTTTATGTTGTTCATGGGATCTTCAAATTGGAGAATAGGGTGCTTAATTCCTTTTTTACCCCAGTTGGAACTACCTGCTTTCCAATTACCTCAACAAGTAACATCAATAAACCAATAAAACATGCTCCTTAAGTCGCATCAAGGGAAATGAAGGTAAATGTAGACAACAATCTTTGCACAAATAACAAACTTCCCATTAAGAAAAAAAAAAATTCAAATCATAAATTATTGCCTGTGAGCATATCTAACCCGATGCGTAAATAGCAACTACTATATACTAGTCGAGAACAAAAATGATTTTAGAGTTGCTCTACCTTAGATATCCTGAGCTGGTTGACAGCCATTCGAAGAGAATCATCCGACAGTATTAGTCGTGACATTGCCCCTGTGCTTAGACTGCAAAATTTCTATATGCAATTAGAAGGAGAATGTCTCAGACATCAAGAATATGATCATCAACTAAGCCACTAAACTCCATCAAACAAATAATAATATTTGGCCCAACTCTTCCTATGATGGCCAATCCAACCTTAGTTCAAGAAAAATAAATTTCAGCCATATTCAACTCTTCAACAAGTTCAGCAATAGCATAAGTGCGTTTCTTTTCTTCTCTTTTCTTTTTTTCTTTTTTTTTAAAGCAAAATTTCATTAAAAGAGCTAAAAGAGGAGCGCTCCCCAAATTTAATTGATTACAAAGACATCCATGATTCGTCAACTAGAGTTGGAACAAATCATATACCTTCATTGTTTACCATATTCATTGACTTTTGGGTAAAGTTCATTCCCTCTTAATACATGGTAGTTTAAAAATCCTAAACCATCATCATAATCATTCTTGACTTTATCCCACATGGATGGATCAGTGATGCAAATAATTAATAGTGTCTATAGTCAGGATTGAGACAGTCACTGGTAAATAGTAATTATGGTATGGGGAGTTTGAAAAGGTCATGGGAACAGTTGGAGTTGTCTTTAATGCTCTTTGGGAAGTCTAAAAGCCAGCCTCGGAAAAAGTAAGTGTCATTAATAGTTGTCTTAAAAAACGACAGCCCTCTTATTTGCTGTAACCAAGTTTTAAATCTATATATATATATATTTTGATAAGTAATAATAACATAAAAAAGCGTTCAAAAGGGGAACGCGTCCCTTTTAAAAAAATGGAACCGGGACTAAGGGCCCAAAGAATCCAAAAAAATAATTAAATCATCAGAAGAAGAGCAAAAACTCCTCTTCACATAATTGAATAGAGAACAAAGAATGTGATTTTTCACCATTGCCGTAGACGACTCTTTATCTTCAAACATTCTACTATTTCTCTCCTTCCAAATACACCACCAGACACAATGTGGGATAACTCTCTAGAAATCGCGTACATCCCTTCTCATGCGACAACCTCTCCATACATGAATCAATTCCTAAGTAGATTGTGGTATTACCCAACACATGCCAAACAACCCAAAAATAAGATTCCAACAGTCATTCGCCACAGGGCAATGCATAAGGAGGTGGTCAACAAACTCCCCATCTTTCTTGCATTTCCTTAAATTATCAATTGTCAAAATCTTTCCCCAAATAGCGGTCCAAACAAAGAAAGTCACCCTAGTTGGAGCCATGGATCGCCAAATAGTTTTCCACGGGAAAACATAATTAATAAAATGAGAGACATAAGAACAGGGATCTTACTTCGAAACGACCTTGGGAAGAAGGAACCCAAATCAGATCATCATTTCCTCTGCCAGCACCCTCCTGCCGATACAAAAGATCCAAAAAAACACATACCTCATCTATCTCCCAATCCTAAAAAGAGCGCCAAAAGTGCACATCCCACATTCCCACGTAATCCCACTGCTATCAAGACGATAACAATCAGCTACAAAGGCGTGTTTATCAACTAAAATACTAAATAATCTAGGAAATGAATGAGATAGTGGTTGATCACCACACCAGAGATCTTCCCAAAACCGAACGCGACGTCCATCACGAACTTTGAATCTGATATGAGCAGAAAAGGCGTCCCAACCCTTCCGAATAGACTTCCACATCCCTACTCCTCCCACAAGAGTAACCGGACGTGTAGACCAGCCTCCATCTTCTTCCCCAAAACGACAGGAAACTAACCTCCGCCAAGGATGGTGTCTTTCTCTTCCATATCTCCATAACCATTTACCTAGGAGGGCTTGATTGAAAGGAACTATTCATCTTATGCCAAGTCCACCCAATTTCACAGGCTTGCAAACTTGTTCCCATCTGACAAAGTGATACTTGAACTCATCTCCCCTTCCTCCCCATAGGAAATCCCTTTGAATTTTTTCAATCCTATCCGCAATAGAACAAGGGATTTGGAACATAGAAAGAAAATAAGTGGGAAGACTCGATAACGTACTCTTAATAAAAGTAACTTTACCCCCCTTGGACAAATATTGCTTTTTCCATCCTTCTAATCTCTTCGCATACCTGTCAATCACTGAATCCCAACTCCCCACTATCCTTGAAGAGACCCCTAAGGACAACCCCAAATAAGGAATAGGAAAAGAACCCACCCTACATCCAAGAACTGCAGCTAAGGAGGAGATGTTATGAACATTCCCTACTAGGACAAGCACACTCTTAGCCACATTGACCTTTAGCCCGGAGACCGCCTGAAAACAAGTTAGGATGCATCTCAAATAACGAAGTTGAGACACATTAGCATCACAGAAAACCAAGGTATCGTTAGCAAAAAGTAAATGAGAAATCTCCATCTGATGGGCTAAGTCTCTACCCACTCTGAAACCCTTAATAAAGCCAAGGTCCTCTGCCCTGCGCATAAGTCTGCTTAATCCCTCCATAACAACAAGAAAGAGGAAAGATAACAAAGGATCGCATTGTCTTATGCCCCGGGTGCAACCAAAGAAACCAGCAGGAAAGCCATTCACAAGAATATAAAACTTGACAGATGAAAGACAAGTCTCGATCCACTTCCTCCATTTGCTTCCAAAACCCATTCTTTGTAACAAATAGAGTAGGAAATTCCAATTCACATGATCGTATGCTTTCTCAATATCAAGTTTGCATAAAACTCCAGGAATACCGCTTCGCAATCTGGAATCCACACATTCGCCAGCAATAAGAACTGAATCAAGAATTTGTCGTCCTCCAACAAAGGCGTTCTGGGAGTCTGAAATAATTCCATCCATTACTTCCCTCATCCTTAGAGCAAGCACCTTAGCAATAAGTTTGTAAATACAACCCACCAAACTAATTGGACAAAAATCCTTAATGTCAGAAGCGCCTCCCTTCTTGGGGATAAGGGTAATAAATGAAGCATTAAGCGACTTCTCAAAGACGCCAGAAGAATGAAATTCCTGAGAAGTACCCATTACCTCATGTTTTACTATCTCCTAGCTTTCCAACAAAAAACGCATAGTAAAACCATCAGGCCCCGGAGCTTTATCCCCATTACAACTTGATAAAGCCTTCAGAACTTCTTCTTCAGTAAAAGGATTCTCAATCCTATCTCTATCTAGTTCAGATAAAGCCTCAAAATAGAGACCATCAAGTTTAGGTCTCCAAGCTAAAGGCTCAGTGTAAAGCTTTTGATAAAAAGAAGCAATCCCGTTACGCACCTCTTCCTCTCTCCACAACTCCACACCTTCCACCCGAATTCTTCCAATATGATTACTCCTCCTATGAGCGTTAGCTAATCTGTGGAAGAATTTTGTGTTCCTATCCCCTTCTTTTAGCCAAAGAGCTCAAGATTTTTGTTTCCACAAGATCTCCTCCATACAAGCAATCTCAGTAAGAACCGCCTGACAAGAGACTCTCCTAGAACATAGAGACTCCACATCCCCACCCACCTCCTCAAGACGGTCAATCTCGGAAAAATCAGCAAGGACTATGTTCTTCCTCCATTCCAGATTCCCGAAACAATCCTTGTTCCACTGCTTAAGAGCGAATTTGAGAGCTCTTAACTTCTTTGTTGTTATGAAACTGGGCGATCCTGAAACAATGACTCCCTCCCACCAAGATCTGACTTGCTCTTGGAAATCCTCTGCACGTAACCACATATTCTCAAATCTAAACGGGGTTCTTCGAATACACAAGCCCCCACAATCCAAGACCAAAGGAACATGATCAGAGATAACCCTTGCTAACATCGCCTGAATGACATCCGAGAATTTCTCTTCCCACGCCCCAAAAATTAGAAATCTATCCAGTCTTGAAAGAGTAATTGGATCCCTACCATTCGACCAAGTATACACTGCACCTTCCATTGGTAAATCAACTAGAAGATGCTCATCAATAAAATCAAAAAATTGATCCATTTCTAGTGACCCTCCCCCTGTAGACCTCTCTAACGGGGACCTGACAGAGTTGAAATCTCCTCCCAAGCACCAAGGGAGAGACCACAATCCTTAAACATGACTAAGCTCCTCCCAAAAGATAGGTCGCTTATCATCAATAACTGGTCCATAGACTCCAGTAAAAACCCATCTGAAATTGTCCTCTTCCGAATTAAACAGACAAGACACAGAAAATCTCCCCATCCACACATCCATTCTAGATAACCATCTGTTGTCCCACATGATTAAGATCCCACCCGAAGTACCTATGGCATTCAAAGCCTCCCATTCCACAAACCTACCTCCTCACAAACTCCTAACCACCCTGTCAGAAATGGATGCCAACTTGGTTTCTTGTAAACAAACAACTTGGGCACCCCACTTCCTTAAAGCTACCTTCACCACCCTTCTCTTATTCGGATCGTTGAGACCTCGAACATTCCATGTAATAATTCGTAGCTTCATTAAGAACTTGATAAAATTATCTCCCCTCCACCTTTCATAAGACTCCTACTCCTGGTCCTTCCCCTTTCCTTCACCACTCCTCTTATCCCTTCATAGTTGACTTCAGAAATAAGACTCTTTATCTCCCTTACCCCTTTGCAAGACGATAAAGGCCTCGTGTTCATAACTTCATTGGTCACTGCGACCTCTCTCCCTTCCACAATCGCTTAAAGGATAGACAATGTCTGATCTTCATTACCTTCTAAAGAGACTCCCAACAGCTCACTAGTGACTCTAATATTGTCAACAACCCAATCTTTTCCCAAATCAGCAACCTCTTCATTAGGTCGCACCATGGCCAGTGGTTCCTCCTTTAAAATTTCAGAACCATTCTCCATCCAGGGTGCTAGCTCTTTGGAACTAACCTGTTGGAGAAGTCCAAAATCATCAACCACCTCCTCTGTAAATTCTCTGTCATTCTCATAAAAAGAATCAGAATCTGTAGCAAAATCATTCCCCTCAACCACTGCAGAAGGCATGCAGTTAAGGCCTTTCAAAGCTGCATTTACTCGAAGCTCATTGAACAGAGCTACAACCTCATCATTGGATAACTGAAAGTGTAAATCTCTGCCCACACAGACTGTAACCCCTTCATAAAATTTCTTGACTGCACAATCAGTGATTTCCAGCTGCCTAGAAACACCAGAAACACTATCTTCTTTTCCTTCTGTATTCAGCCCATGCATAAGGCCATATCCACTGTCCATTACCGATAGCCCACACCTCTTTCCCACTTCAGTCACAACGCCAACACTCCTCAACACCTCACTAGAAGGGGTAGAAGAAGAGGATGGAATATTAAAGCTCTGAGAATGTGAAGCTAAAGGCATACCTGGAGCTAGAGAAGAAGTCCACTTCTGCTTTTCTTTTCGGCACCATCTAACACCACTGTGAAAGTCCCGAGATGAAGATCTGAGAATTCGCCCTTCGTCTGTGTAGAATCAGAGAGGGATGAAGACGAGATACCCGCACAACAATGAGAGTGACGCGATCCCTTCCTCGCAAGATCTCCACCAGCCGCGGCGACAGATAAATCCCTCCATCTCTTCTTCTCTGGTGAATTCCAGAAAGTTGCAGAGGTTTCATTAGAACGACGACTCTGTGAATAGCTTATTTCAGTGGAGGTAAGTGGGCTGGGCTTGGAGTTAATAAGAGAAACTAAGATTTTATTATTGGCCCCCGTAAAACCTTTCTCTTCAAATTGCTTAAAGAATATGGGCTGGGCTTGTTTTGAAAGGAAACAGGCCCCCGATGAACAGCCCTCTTAACCTTCTGTGGGCCATGATTAACTAGCGGCCCACTTGTTGTCCCATAGACCTTTGTAGATCCACGTTTTGGCCCAGCTGAATCCGCAACATAAAGATCATCTTCAATGACACGATTATGGCCACGTGGTTGGTATCCGTTAGCGCAAATTTTATGAGGGAACAAAAGGCGATGACTGAGGGATTGATTGACACGAGTCTTGGATCTATCTCGTCTAGGCGCTTCTGGCGCGTGAGAAGGCAGTCGTCTCTTTCCTTCAACGCCTTGGTGGTTCTGTGGTTTCCAGCGACTACCTGCTGTTGCAACAGCCAGGATATGAGGGCTTTCTCCAAGACCGTAGTAGGATTTCGGAAGGATACGAGGTATGATTTCCTCTATCAGATTAACCCTGAAGGCCACACATGGGTCCTCAAAAAAAACATATTCAGGTATCACCTTTCCGACGGAAACAGAGAGGAGGATTCTCCGTCCATTCGCCGAGACGTCTGCCTTTAAATCAATATAATTTTGAGATATCAGTTTATAAAGTATTCCACATGGATTCCCAGATTTCCCTTTAGAAATCTAGGCTCCAACGGTGATTGGAGTATTTCTAGTCTTCTTTACTACTGTTAGAAGACTTCTGTTTTTTTCTGTTTGCTTCAAGTGGGATCAAAGCCCTGCTGTAAGATAATGTGATTATTGCGGATATGTGACTAGGCAAGGAAGCAAGATAGCCACAAAAGAAGACTCTCAAAATCTGCAAAAAGATCAGCAACATCAAATTTCTCAGCTGAGCACTCCATTAGAATAATATGGAATCATTTCTCCGCTGAATCTGGACAATAGGAGAGAAAGGGATCAGCAAATGGATGCATATGAATGCGAATAATGGACAGAACAGCCTATTTGAGAAAGAATTCAACAACATAAGCACTTCAAAAGTAAAAATTGGACTGAACAGCCTACTAGAGAAAGAAATCAGCAGTGTTAGAAGGGCAAAATCGGGTGCTGCCACTTCAGTTAAGCAGTCAAAAAACACTTGGACAGCAATTGTGAACAATACCAAGGAGTCTGATTTGTGGTATTAAAGACACGAGGGTTTGAGATGCAAATATGTTTGAGTGTCTAATAATTTTAGATAATCACGTAATCAATGCAAAACAACTCATCATTGAAGAAGCCATGGGGAATCATGCTGATTTTTTACAATGCCAAATCAGCTTGGGATGAATTTGCTGGATGGGATGATGAAGAATGTGAGAGACTGGAGGAAAATTCAACTTTTGATGAATCTTTCGAAGGTGTAGATGAATAAGATCAGAACTTGGGGGTGCATTCAACTTCCCATCTTTCAGAATTTGACAACAATAAAGAGGATTTTGAAGGCGGAAGAGGATAAATCTAAGGAACCAACCAGCAACTTGTGTAAAATTGAAGAAGTTTTCACCATTCAACCTGCGTATCATGGATTTGAGAGTAAAAATAATGAATATGAATCAGACTTTGCTTCTCAAGGTGGGCAATCTGAAGATAAAAACACTGATCTTCCAAGTTCCAACAGTACGTGGTTCAGCAAGCATTACATCAGATTTAGGTTGCTTTAATAATTTGGGAAATGAAGCTTTGTTCATGAAGTTGGAAAATCATGAATTCCATATTCATGACTCAATTTGGGATGATTTCTTGCTGCGGCGTATAACATGGAGTTGTAGTCAATCCAAAATCAGACTAATTCAGGTTTTGTTTCATGATATGTATTCAAGCAAGCTTCGGAAATCTTCTAAATTTAAAGAAAGAGCTCAGGAAGTTCATGAAAGATGTTCTTTGCTGGTGAAAGAAGATTATTGTGCTTTGTTCTAGTAAGGAAAAGGATGGAAGGTTTTATTCTGGTTTCTAATAGATCATGGTAAATTGCTTCAAACTCGAGGGCGAGTTTTCTCCAAGGAGGAGGGTCTGATGCAAATAATTAATAGTGTCTCTAGTCAGGATTGAAGCAGTTAATAGTGTCCTGAAAAGTGTTTAGTCAAATACTATTAAATAGTAATCATGGTATGGGAAGTTTGAAAATGTGATGGGAATATTAGTTGTCTTTAATGCTCTTTGGGTAGTCTAAAAGCCAGTCTAGGAAAAAATAAGTGTCATTAATAGTTGTCTTATAAAAAAGACAGCCCTCTTATCTGCTGTAACCATGTTTTACATCACTATAATTTTGAGATACCAGTTTAGAAAGTATTCCACAGGGTTTCCAGATTTCCCTTTAGAAATCTAGGCTCCTGATTGGAGTATTTCTAGTCTTCTTTACTACTGTTAGAAGACTTTCTGTTTTTTCTGTTTGCTTCAATCAGCCACATAATTTCTCATTTTAAATTCTATTTTATTACAAGCCATGTCTCCTATTATATATCTTTCTTTTTTTTTTCATCTAAGATTTTTAAGTTTATAAATCTTAAATAAATATATATATATATATATATATATATATATATATATGACTAATGAAGCTTTTACATACGAGTGTGAGAATTTTATTTTCATTTCATAATTATTTGAATGCAGCCACTCAGAAAATAGTTTATGTATATGAATGCATGAAAATAATTTTTGCTCCGTTACAATTCAGTGCATCTAATATAGAAGCTGGAATGAAAAGCCAATTATAGACATTTATACTTCTCTTTCCGAGAAGACATATTCAAATGCCTATGATGTCCTAATAACCAAATGAACCAAATGGAACTCGTAAAATGTTTGAGGAAGAGAGCCTAACACATTTGATGGAGCCAAGTAGGAAAACCAATATAGACTTTAGGACTTAATATCACGTACCCCAGTTTTTTTGCTGCATCAGATACAGAACCCTCAACTGCAAAAATTAGATCTAGCAGAGCTTGCATTCCCTGTGATTATATGACATTTATAAATAAAAATATTCATAAAAAAAAAAAGAAGAAGAAGAAGTAATTAAATATACTATCCTGATCTTCAGTTTAGTTGAACGAAATAAAATAAATATCAATTCTTTCATACTTTTCTAGTAAAAGAAGAAGAATAAGAAGAAGAGGATGGATAGGGCAGACCAAAGCAAATTTTGGATTATTGGGCCCAATCTGTGGACCACGATCTGAACCTCGGATGGTTGACTTCGCCGGAAGAATCTGAAGAAGCACTTGAGGAGGTGAATATGCATCAAGATCTACTGTATTCCTGACTAGCTCAAAAGAATAATATGTTACCTATCAGTAGAGGTATCCAATTTTATTAAGATATAATCGAACAGAAAAGAAAGAGATATGACAAATGCTACAAGAGAATTTATACATAATTTGATTACTGCCTTTGAGTAGTTAGAAAAAGAGAACCAGCAAAACTTAAATAACATAGGATGGTGACCATCATTTACCATGAGCAAGTCAGAAAAAAAATATTTAGATAGTAAGAAAAACGAACAATCAAAACCATCGATTTGGAGATAGATGAGCTGGCTTTCAATGTGCATAGACTAGAGATGAAGTCCTTAGGGTTGTGTGAAAGCTAACAAGCAGCAATGTTCAATTCGTTGAAAGTTATTCCTATTGAGGAAAGTTTATAGTAGAAAGGTTTCTCATTACATGATGAGAAGTGTTCCTTGTACTATTGTTTTTGCCCCTAATTTCCTTGTACTATTACTTGTATCTTTTCTTATGCTTCATTATGCTTAAATCAAACACTTGTCTTATCACAATGTTCTTTAATTTAGGTTGTGGATTTTATGATGTTGTACTTGTGTTGTTTGGAGAAAGGAAGACGGGAGACATGGTGATATCTTACATTGTGTTTCTGCTTTGTACTTGTTAGTTACTGAGCTTTTTCTGTTTATATAAATTTGTGAACTGCAGTATTTTGTCAGTACTAGTAAATGAAACGAGGCATAAAATTTGTTGTTAAAGTTCACAGTAAAATCCCATGGTAGCATTTTGGATGATTTTGTTTGAATCCATATAAACACTTCGAATATAAATAAACTGAAATAATATGGCCTACATTAAGTTAGTTTTAGATTTTTAGTGATTGGACTTTACCCAGGATGATTTTGATAAATGATGAGTCATAATTAATTTTCAAAACCATCCTTATATAATTTGATCCAAACAGGGGATTTTAAATCTTGTCATGAATATTTTAGTATCCAAACAACAAAATTTGAATGATTGGACTTTACCCGGGATGATTTTGATAAATGATGAGTAATGGATTAATTTTCAAAATCACCCTTATATAATTTGATCCAAACAGGGGATTTTAAATCTTGTCATGAATATTTTAGTATCCAAACAACAAAATTTGAATTTCATTCTGAAACTTCAACCTATTAAAAATTAAAAAAAAAAAATGCACACCTTTAAGAGCTAATAGGGTTCGCAACCGGGCTAGTGCAGATGCACGATTCTTGTGCTGCGATCTATCCTCTACAGCCTAAAAAAAATTCGATCACAAAAAAGAAAATGAAAATTAATAATGAGAAGAGAAAAGAAACAAATAAATAAATAGTGATTAAGGAATTGTATTAGGTACATACATACTTGTGCAACAATGCCAGTTGGGAGGTGCTTGAGACGGACGGCAGACTCTCGTTTGTTGCGGTGCTGACCGCCGGGACCAGACGACTTGAAAGTATCCATCTCGCACTGCTTGAACAACTCCTCGTCCGACGAAATCAAGTATTTCATCCCATCTTCGCTATTATTAGTTGCTATTGTTCTGTAGCTCCAAGTTTTGGTAATGGACAACCTTAGTAGATTACTACTGGTACTGGTGGGTGTTAGTCTTCCCCTTAATATTATGATTGGAATTGTTATTGGACAGCCAACAACAAAGCCTGAATAACTCCTCCTCCTCCAACTGGCTAGTTTCAGAAACGATTTCGAAAGGAGAGAAGTCGTCATGTAGATTGGGAGGTTTTGTTCTGAATGCGAACTGGGTTTTGTTATAGGGTTCACTGGTGGTGTTAGTGTTGCTGTGTTGGTGAGTTGAATTTTGATTTTTTCTTTTTCTTTTTCTTTTTCTTTTTCTTTTTCTTCTTTTTGAAAATACAAACAAATTGTTATAGACTTGGATTGACCGATGAATGGGTCAAAGAGCAGTTGCCTTGCCTCCATAGACTAATAAAAATATATATATGAAGTATTTTTTTTTTTTTTTTGTCAAAAGAAGGTTGATATCTCTTCCTCTTCTATTCTGAAGACTTCGAATCTTCAAATGAACAAAACCAGTTGCCTTGCCTCCATAACCTAATAAAAATATATATATGAAGTAATTTTTTTTTTTTTTTTTTTTTTTTTGGTCAAAAGAAGGTTTATATCTCTTCCTCTTCTGTCACGAAGAGTTCGAATCTCCAAATGAACAAAGTGTATCGGCAAGCTTTTCCTCAATGAAAGAAATATATATATATATATATATATATATATATATATATATATATATATATATATACTATTAGGTTAGTGCATTCGCTATAACTTTTTGCGGCAAGTACTACTACTAAAAAAAAAAATCAAGGGGCTCAACAGAGTCAACACATTCAAATCATGACATAGCCCAAGTCTTCACCAGCAAAACCCAAATTCCAACAACTATATTTCAGAAGGAAAATAATTTTTATATCGACAACTATATTTCAGAAGGAAAATAATTTTTATATCGAGCAATTACAGTGAATTGTCAAACCCCTGTTTTTAATTAGTCATCTCTGCAACGAATAAGATAGTGGGACCCTCCAATTGCTTGTATTTGATATAAATAACCAAACAAAATTATTCAATTAAGCAATTCACTGTAACACTTCGGCGTGAGTATCATTACTCATTTCATAATCTCGCTATACCCACATTCGGAAACTACCAAATTGTAGCCTAGTAGTGTCTCTACCTTCCAAAGAAAATGGCAAGGGTTCAAGTCCCTTTAGGAATAAATGGGCGCATGAGTTTCTTGTTATTTAAAATAAATAAATAAATAATCAAATGGGACAGGAAAGTCACTTTAGCTTTCTTTGAAACTAACACTCCACAGTTTGTTTCAACGTAAATTATGTTTCTCAAAAAATATCTTTTTACATAAGGATGGAACAAAGGAATTTTGGAATTAAAATGATGATTGATAAGCGCTAAATATTGTGTATTCAAACCCCCTTAAACGTGTATATGTTAATGCCTTAGTGATATTTTTATCTTAGTTTTTATGTTAATTTTTATTTATTTGCTTTTCGTAGGTTTTTACCCAAAGAGATTATCAATTCCATGTATTTAGAGCTTACTGTGATGTTCCCGGTGCTTAAAGAGATGTTCGGGGCCTTCCGGGTCAATTTGGGACTCAATTGGAAAGATTTGATGAAATTCAGCTTCCAGAGCTCGAGCAAAACTTTCTGTACTCGAGCACAAATCATAAAATTCAAGAAAAAGGTTAAGTGTTGAAGAAAAAGACGCTTCAAAAAAATTCAAGTCCCAAAACTCAAGCACAAAACTTTGTGCTCAAGTACAACCCCTTAGAGCTCGAGCACTGATGAAAATTCTGGGCTTGCTTCAATATTCTGAGCATAACTTTTCAATCGAAACTCTAATTGGGTAAACTAAACGGCTATAGAAATAAAACTCGAAACTCGACGTTTTTATCTCTAATAAAAATTTCGAGATTCGTACTCCAAATATGTCAAAATAGCATTACAACTTCAGAACAATTTGCTGAAAGTAAAACTGAGTGCTGAGACCGTGCTCGAGCACTGTCATCCTGGAACTTAAAAATACATACGGGAAACACTCCTTTTTTGTTCCAAACGGGCCCAGATGACTCTATAAGCTATAAAAACCTCCAAAGGGGATTATGACTTTTTCTCCACTATAAAAGAAGATGAGAAGATACATTGAATCTCTCTCTTATCTCTCTTATCTTGATCTCTCTCTTCTTCCTTTTGGTTCTCCTACCTTGTGGCGACTTTTAGGGTTTTGAAGATTGAAGATTCGAATTGGCGATTCATGGAGATGGTTTCTACACCAACAATGATGACATCCTTCATCTCCATGACTAGCTAAAGCATTCCTTAGGGAATTGATGTAACCCTAGGCCGAGTGGCATTTTAACTTAAAGGGATTTTTATATGTATGTTGATTTCATGGTTTTAAGCAACTGACTTAGTTTTACTAAGAGATTAATTTCTCATGACTCTTTGCTCTACATCGTTGATATTGTGAGGTGATTTCTTATTCTTTCCTATCTTTGTTCACTCTCACGTGGTGGTGTCTAGTTGCTTTCATTGACAAGTTTTTGCATTCAAGTTTGGGGGTACCACCTTACTTGACAATTGCCTTTACTTTGGACGGTTTGATTTTGACATTCATCACTTCTATTGTAATATTGTTCTAACCCTTCTTCTATTTTTGTTCTCATTGCACGTTGAGGACTATGTGTAGTTTAAGTTTGGGGGTAAGGCAATATAATTTCAAGTTTGTTGATAAGTTCCCCACTTTTAGAAAAAAAAATATAATTTGCAATTTGCATGGTAGAGTTGAGAGCATGTGGTTTTAGCAATGATTTTATGTCTGTAAAGTTAGTTTGGTGTCCTAAAACAATTTTCAATGGATTAATACATCATATATGTGGAGTTGTTGCCGATTTTGGGATAAATTGAAAATTTTTGACATTGTGTTTCCACATCGTGGTCCACATTATTGGTCTTTCCACATTCTCGTGATTTTTGAACTTCTAGAGTTCTTCACTTTCACATGAGCAAACTTGCATCTATTTTGTGGGGTATGAACTTGATATCTTGTTATGTTTTGTAATTAACTGAGATGAGTTGGTAAATTTGAAAATTTGAGGACTATGGCATAATGATAGGTTTAAATGCAAAAATTAAACTATTTTCCACTAAGTAACTGGGACTCGTTAAGCATTGGGGATTCATGTCAACAGCTGGAGAACTTAGGAAAAAGAAATTTGAAGAATTACTTTGGATTCGTAGCCTAGTTAACTCGAGTAATGGAGTCCTTTAGGGTGTTTTGACACCTAATGCCCTAAAATCGGCCGATTTGAGAGTCAGTGACCGAAAGCTTGCTACATGGGTTTTCTAGAGAGCTTAAGGGATCCGAACATTGCACAAAACTCTTTTTGAAAAAGGAAAAATGAAATGAAATGAAAATTTAGAATTGAAAAAAAAAAAAAAAAAATGAAAAATGCATACATGTGTTTGAATTGATATTTATGCCTTAGGAATTGAAATTTAAAGAATTGCCAATGAATTGAGGAATATTATGGAACGTATATGAGTATGGATGGTATGCAATATAGATAGATGTAACTTCACTTTTATAAGGATGCTAGAATTGAAAATTATTTGATATGTGGATTTGAACTTTATGTGGGGACCATTGTTGTTATGTATGATGTTGAAGGTTCAAATTTGTTTCTGATTGTGCATAATCTACATACTTGTTGTAATTTTTTGATTATTGATTGTAGGGATACCTTTACTATGCTAAACAGGTGACAATTGAGCTAAATGTTGGATGTGTGTAGGTACCATTTCTGGAAACCCTTACAAGACTATAACTCATCCACTAGGGGTAACCTAGAGGTTTAAAGGCTTGTTACATATGTTAAATGCAATCATGATTCTTACGAAAGCGGACATTATGTTTTTGTTTTTATTTTTTTATTTTAGTTTAGTTTTGTATTGCTAGGGACTAGCAATATGTAAGTTTAGGGGTGTGATAAGAGTTAAATATTGCATATTCGAGTCCTTGAACATGCATATGTTAATGCATTAGTGATACTTTTATTTTGGTTCTTATGTTTATTTTAGTTTATTTGTTTTTTGTACATTTTTACCCAAAGAGACGGTCAATTCCATGTATTTAGAGCTTATTGCAATGTTCTCGGTGCTTAAGTAGATGCTCGGGGCCTTCCAGGTTAATTTGGGACTCAATTGGGAAGATTTGATAACTCATAAAGCTTGAGCACAAATTTTTGTACTCGAGCACAAATTATAAAATTCAAGAAAAAAAAGCTAAATATTGAAGAAAAAGACGTTTCGGAAAAATTCAGCTCCCAAAACTCAAGCACAAAACTTTATGCTCGAGCACAACCCCTTAAAGCTCGAACACTGATGAAAATTCTGGATCTACTTCAGTATTTTGGGCATATCTTTTCACTCGAAACTCTAAATTAGGAAAACTCAGCGGCTATGGAAAGAAAACTCGAAGCCCAACATTTTTAACTCTAATAAATATTTTAAGATTCGTACTCCAAATATATAAAAATAGTGTTACAACTTCAGAACAATTTGGTGAAAGAAAACTGAGTGCTGAAACTGTGCTTGAGCACTATATATCAACTGTGCTCGAGCATTGTCATCCTAGAACTTAAAAATACATGCAGGAAACACTCCTTTTTGGTTCCAAATGGCCCAGATGACTCCATAAGTTGTAAAACCCATCCAAAGGGGATTATGACTTGTTTTCCACTATAAAAGAAGATGAGAAGATACATTTAATCTCTCTCTTATCTTTATCTCTCTCTCTTCTTCCTCTTGGTTCTCCTAACTTGTGGTGGCTTTTAGGGTTTTGAAGATTGAAGATCCCAATTGGCAATCCATGGAGATGACTTTTACACCAACAATGATGACGTCCTTCTTCTCCATGAGTAGCTAAAGTATTCCTTAGGGAATTGATGTAACCCTAGTCCGAGTAGCATCTAAACTTTGGAAAATTTTATATGTATATTGATTTCATGGTTTTGAGCAATTGACTTAGTTATACTAAGAGATTTGTTTCTCATTACTCTTTTCTCTACATAGTTGATATTGTAAGGTGATTTCTTATTCTTTCATATCTTTGTTCACTCTCATGTGGTGGTGTCTAGTTGTTTTCATTGATAGGTTTTTGCAATCAAGTTTGGGGGTACCACCTTGCTTGACAATTGCCTGTACTTTGAACGGTTTGATTTTGACATTCATCACTTTTATGGTAATATTGTTCTAACCCTTCTTCTAGTTTTGTTTTCATTGCATATTGAGGACAATGCGCAGTTCAAGTTTGAGGGTAAGGCAATATAATTGCAAGTTTGTTGATAAATTCC